ACAGCCATTCTAATTTGCATTTGGCTAGATATTTTACTGTTGATATTTCTGTCACTACAACAGCAGATTCAAATAATTTCCAGATAGATGGTATGGACCACAAAGCCTAAAATATGTAGTATCGGCCTCTTTATGGAAAGAGTTTGTCAACCACTGCTCTAGACAATCAGGTTTCATTGAACATTTATTTCCCTTGGGCCTCAAGAATAGTTTTGAAGGTTTGCATTACATAACCAATGTATACTTGATTTTACTAAGTGATAGATACTTTTTAACATATATCCGTACCAAAACATGTCCTAAAATATTTGAATGTTGATATTTTCTAAGCATCTCTATAAAAGGTAGTAAAAGCACAGAAGACAATAATAGTCTAGAAACTTTAAAAGAGTGGCATAAGAGGAAAAAAAGATGCTTAATAATTCCAAAAAATTACATATATTCCTTATCAATATACTAAAAGAAATGTATCAACTGTCTTGAAAAGCATCATATAATTTCTTAGGAAATTATAGACCTAGTTAGTGCTACAGGAATATTTATGTTTAACCACTTATCTCACACATCATCACTATATTTCAGGCTTTCAAAACAATTACTTAAAGTGTCAGTGAACCATGTTTACCCATTTAGGGCATTTTAAAATTTTTAACGCACAACCCTGTACAAGGCACTGGTAATAGAATGATGATGATCACCCATTTCTGGCTAATAGTTAATAGGGCAGATTATACCACTTATATTACACACATAAGAACAAAGAGGGGCAGAAGCACAACTAATGAGTATACTGGCTAAGGGGAGGCTTCTAGAAAAAAAGCTATTGAAGTATAAGCAGGAGTTTGCCAGGTTTGTAGAGGGGAGGGAGAGGGAGAAATGGCAGAGCAACAACATTCTAATTTGGATGTAGAAATACACAAAATGAGACATGGAAAGGACTTAGCAAGTCCTAGAAGCTATGAGCTGTGCAATGCTACAGAAGCACTGGGGTAAAAAGAGGGAGTTGGTGACCTACGTAAAGACTGTCAAGACTAGACTTTAGGATCCGAATGCCAGTTTACATGCCAAACTGAGGAATTAAGATCAGATGTGACTGTATGAGCCGTAGAGAATGTAGTTTTCCAATAAGAGACAAGACATGATTGATTTTATTTTGTAGGAAAATGACACTGACAACAACTAGGATCTTGGCCAACAGTGAGGAAAAACTAATGGCAGAGACCAATCAGCTACTGTGCAAATCAGACATGATGCCCAAAAGTAATGACAGTGAGGATGAAAACAAATGCGATGCAGCTATGCTTGGTAGAATCTATAGGCCAGAAGGCCTACTTTTTAAAAATGTCCCTCATGTGTCATTTTCCCTTTTCAATATTTTTTGGTATAGATGTATCCTTTGCATGGAAAAAGCTTATTCAATAAGATTGTCAAAACTGAAGGCAAAATGGCCTTTTTTGTTTTTTCCCCCACAGTATTAGGAAAGAAAACATACTAGAAATACAGTAACTCAAGTGTCAAGAGATCTGGATTACAGGCTTGTCTTTGCTGTGAGACAATGGGCATGACAATTAACCTCCAAAAGCTCTGGTTTTCTCATTTGTAAAAAGAGGAAATTAGACTAGATGATATGAAACTCTTGAAAGTTGTAAAATGCTATGATCATACTTATACATCTTTAATCTGTTAAGTCTCAAAAAAATTCAAATACTATCATGTGTTTAACAACCAACCAAATATGAAAAATCCATCAAAAACAGGCAAACACTACTGTACCTATTATTTACCTACTACATTTATTTGTAAAAGATTCCATGACATACATTAAGACATGCAGTCACCAACTACTCATCTGAAACCCTAAGGCAAAACTGAAACTCAATAAGATGTCTGTCAGTCAGCCATTTCACTTTCAATTACTAAGTATCTTTCAAAAACATCTCCAAAAAGGAGCATTCTTTTACTGGGGTGGTTCAAAAGACTAAATGAATGTCTGCAAAGTTGAATAGTAGTATTGTTTGGTACAAGTTTTCAGACATAACACTATCCTATGGAATCATGTTTGTCTGAACCTCTTATTGACAAAGAACTTTTTAACAATATTCCTTTATCAATCAAAACAAAAAGTGTCTCAAACTTGAGAAATACAGTCTTGAGTTTGTAACCATGAACTGCTGTGTGTGACTTCTCACTAATGTTAAAAGAAAAACTGTATTACAAATTCATCTCATACTAAAAAGTCTAGAAATACTCAACTTATTTCTCTTAAAGAACAACTTTTAAACCTGATTTTAAAAGAAAGGATAGTTGGGTCAAAAGACCCTTTTCCTTCAAAACAAAAAGATGGAATAAATAACATCAAACGTGAAAATCCCAAATGTAAATCTTGCATTTTCCAGTCTGTTCTAAATTTATGTAGCATAAGTAATATAGCCTAAGTTAAAGTTACATACTTCAAAGGAAATAACATTTTAAGGTTTTGTAAACTGTAACATTAAACTATAAGCAGAGGCTTTTCTGATGTGTTATGTTACATTACTTCTTTCAGTGTTTCTTCTAAAGACCTAAACAAATTTTTATAGATATGCTACACTATATACACTAGAATAATTTCTCTTTAAGGTACCCATGTGATTTTTCTTGCTTCTTAAAATAGCGTTATACATTTTTCTGAGTTAACGAAAATAAATTCTGAAAAGAGCTAAACTGTAATTTCCCATGATCAGAGTGTAAAATCCTTTACTATGCAAATCCATATTATAGTTTAGAACCACCACTAAACACTTTTTGTTCTATTCAAAGCTCTGGTATCAATGAACATGAAACTAATCCTGCTACCAACCCACAAGAGATGTGTTTACTGTAAAGCCTCAAATCTCAACTACGCCTTTGGTCCAAGAAAAAAACTTTTACGTTGATTTTTCTTACATGTAATATAGTGATTTAAACTAATGCTTTCAGGTTCTAAAAGTTTTTTTAAAGAATATTTTGAAGATACACAAACTGATCTTTACTAAAGGAGCTTTATTAATTCTAGTCAAACAAATTTCACTCAAGAAGGAAGTGTATTCGAATCAAGAACTTTATTAGAGGGCAAAATGTTTTAAAAAGAACAAATAGAAGCAGGGATTAAATTATGTTTTCGTTGTAGCCCATGCTATTCAAATACATTTCAGAAGTAGAATTTTTAACTTTTCTCAAAAGTTGCCTGCTAAAAGGAAGCTATTTTAATTTTTAAAAAATCAAAATACATTTTTAAAATTCCAGGTCAAATATATTACAAAGTTAGCATGAAGAGTATGAAAAACAGCACATCTGATTTGTTTTGTAATGCCAATGTCCAGTTAGGAAAACTAGCTGTGCTTTCCCCAAATTTATCTGATTAAGACTCCCACAGGAACACTAGTATAACAAGTAGAGTGGATATTCCAAAAACAAAATACAAGTTATAATACCTCACATTCTAAGACGTTCATTCAAGGACACCTGGCAATTAGCTAAAAGAATTATGAGAAAAGTTTACAAACTGAATACTATGGGGCCCGTTCAGTTGTAACAAAAGAAAAATTATCTGCAATAACAATCCTTTACACTTGTCTAGCACCTTGTAATTTTCACGTTTTGTGATAAAACAATTTATAAAGTTGTGCTTTTTCGTTCCCTGTATGAAATTAGCACACCCCTACCTACTTTGGTCCTAGAGTTCATAAATCAACCATATCAATCACAACAGGATGCGCAGAACGACAAAGCATCACTTCAAACTTACGAATGTAAGTAAGTGGCTGATGCTCAGTTTATTAAGAAATGTTCCGCTAAGATCCTAAAAACTCTCTCCCATATAGTTTGACCGTCTTTAAAGTCTAAGCGGGACAGGCAGATGTTCCTAGGCGCCCTCACTCTGGGGGAGGGGGAATTCCTGCCGGGATGTGCAACGAGGTGAAGGCTGGTTTAAACCTACCCTTCACAGGCAGGGAGCTGGTTCCACCTGTCCTGCAGTGCGAGGCCGTCTGCCCTCCGGGATTCGAAGGAGAGGTGTTCTTAATACATTACCCAGCTCACCTTCTCCTAGGAGAGCTATCAGAAAGAGCTTCCTAAGGGGTTTCTACGGTTCTCAACTCCCAGGAAAACAAGTGTTCGGGCCCAGCTCTGTTATCACTCCACATTCTGTTTTGGATCATCTATGTGCTCGATAAACCCCAGCACGCAGTCATATAGCAGAGAATGGAGTGGAGGACATACGAACACCCAAGGTTGGGGGATGTTACAATAGTTACCAGAGAACTAGACGAACTCTGAAGTTCTACGGGCAAAACGCCGTTAGTCCCTCAGGAGGTCCTACATTCGAAGGTAGGCGAGGAATTCACAATGTGTGAGAAAGCGAAATCAGGGGTGGGCGAAGAGGGGTCGCAAAGTAGCCGAGTATACGGGGACGGACGGGGCTGTGCTGCAGGGCCAACGGGCTGGCTGGCCCCAAAGGCTCGGAGGTGCCCAGTGGGTCAGACCCGTGAGGCTGGCTAGGACCCCGGTGCTCGGCCGCCCGACGGGCTCCTCGGCGAGGTTTCAAACCGCCGCCCCCGGGAGGCGCTCAGCCCATTGGAAGTTCCACAACGACCGTCACCAGCCCAAGGCCGGAGCGGCAACTCCTCGGCGGAGCGCTCACCCTCCGCGTCTCCCCAGGAACCAGACCCCACAAACTCCACCTCCAACCCAGGTCCCAAGTCGAGTCCAGCCGCCTGCTCCAGGCACTCGGAGAGCGCCCTCCGGGAGGGGACCGACGCCCCCCGACTAAGCTGCGCCGCGGGAGTTCGAGGGGCGCGACGGGGCCACGCAGGGGACGGGCAGAACCCGCGTCCCTCAGAGTCCGACCCGGGACGCGGCCCCGCAGCCACCTACGCCTCGCCCCTCGGGCACGGCCCGGCCGGGCTCCGACCCACCCATCCCGCGCGGTGGCGGGCAGGGCGAGGACCGAAGCAAGCCTACTCCCCCGCCCCTGCTCTTACCCATCTTTCCGCCTCGCCTTGTAGACGTGCCCGTAGGTGCCGCGTCCCACTTTGCACCCTTCGTACTCAAACAAATCCTCCACCCGCTCCCGTTCCGCCGCCAGCTTCGCCTTGAAATCATAATCCATTGTCTGCTTCCCCCATAGAGGCACCGGGACGCGGGGGCCGCTGCCGCTCAGTCCCTCCTCCTCCTCCTCCTCCCCCAGCGACCGCCGCTCCACTTCTCCAACAGCCGCCTCTCGGGCGCGCGCGCGCCACCCGCCGCCCCGCGGTCCGCCTTCAGCAAGGGACTCCTCGGCGACCGCAGTAGCCACCTCCTCCACCACCTCCTCCTCCTCCGCGGCGGCGGCGGCGGCGGCGGCTCCCGCAGACACCCCCAGTCCCGCCTCCCCCCTTCATTTCCTTGTTTTGGAACCTGGTGGGCCGCACCGCGGCTTCCTCGAGCTCATTAACGAACCAGCCCTCCCGCCCCTAGGTCGCGAAGGCTCCTGGGACCCGTAGTTCCGAAGGCACGAGGAGCAGTTGAGTTACTTCTGTGAAAGAAATACAACTCCCAGGTTGCCTTGGGTCGCTATAGCCTCGCCCCTACAAAGCATGCACGCCTGCGCACTTGGGCCGCCCCCACCCTCAGGTAGCGCTGGAGTGCCAGTTCCTGCGAAGGTAGAAAGTGCGAAGTTGCAGTGTGGTTTCTGCGAGTTTGTGGGAGCTGGTGGAAAGAAGGCCCTTGTTCCGATGTAAGGAAAGTACTTCATTATAACTGTCCCCGGGGGAGAAAAGTGGAAGGTATTTAACAAGTGCTTTGCTCAAGAGTTTGCTCCAGTGGTTTGCGAGGCAATTACTGTGGTTAGGACAGTTGTATTGCAGATTGTTTTTTGTGGCAATTGGTCCTCATGTTGTCCCGCCCCTCGTCCAACCGTTTGTTGGCGGAGACTAGAGAATGACGTTCTCGTTGGTGCGTGGGTATCCCAGGCAGGCTTTGGCTTCTTTCCCGCTCTTGATTGGTAATTGAGTGTGCTCGGTTCTTTCTGATAGGTTAATCTTTTTTCTTGACGCTGCAAAAACCGTATTTCAAAAGCTGAACGTACAGCGGTTTCCCAGTTCTGGCATCGGTCTGAGAACATTTAACTTGTGATCCCTAACAGCGAATCATCCTTTTCTTGGCCGTCTAGTCATGGTCTCCTCCTAGCATATGCGATTCCCCTTAGCAAGCTTTGCCCATCTGTCTAAGGACAATTAAAGTGCTAGAAGGATGCAGCGTTTTAAAAACAATCATTTGGGTTGGACTGTAAAGGTTTTTTACGGTGTATACATAACGGTGATGTTCTCCTAGAACGTTTAAGAAAGTCCCTTTAGTCAAGGTGAACGCTGATTCATTATTCCGGACATAACGTGTCAGATGCTTGGGATGCAATCTTAAACATGATTGGTGCTAGGATAGGACTTATATACCACATTCAGTGGGAACACAGTAACACCTGAAGTGGTGAGGAAAGTGAATAGTAAGTGACTTGTCTGAACGGTTTGGGAAAACAACCTGGAAAGCTAGAAGAAAGAGGTGAGAGGATCGTTTATTTACTACAACAGTAAGTTTTCTGGGAAACTTCCTCAGATCTTGAAGTCAATTAAAAAGTATATGAGTTTCTCTTATTGCCAGGCACTATGATATATGCCGTAGATACCAGATGAAAATTGGTCTTTTTCCATCAGGGAACTAAAACCTATTGAGGAAATAAACATGCGAACAAAAATAAACTGTAAGTACAATGAGCAACGGCAGAATACGAGGACTACTAGAGGACTGAGGTTAGCTTCACAAAGGAGGTAGGTTTGAGCCAAATTTAAAGAACCTTATTTGGAGGACAAGTGGGGAAGTAGGGAGTAGGGAATTATTTCAGGCATAACCAGCATGTACGTATACCATGAGAGAACATGATATGAGAAATGCAGTTCACTTGAATATTACAGATTAAGGCAGGGGGAAGGATGGCTAAGAAGAGACTGGACAGATAAGCAGAGGGCAAATTATGAAGAGCTATATATGTGAAGCAGAAGTTTTAGATTTCATCATACTGTAGGCAATAGGAAGCCATTAAAGACTTTTGAGCTAAGGGGTAATGCAACCAGTTTTGTGTATTCAAAAAAAAAATCCTTCAGACAACAGTATTTGGGATAAATTGGAAGAAGGTAAGTACAGTAAAAAAAAAAAAGCCATTACATTAATACTTGTAAAATACAAGTATTATTTTGATAATCATATGATTATGAGAAAGGGGCAGATACCAGAATTATTTATGAATCAAATTCAACAGGACCTGGAGATTAATTAAATGTGGGGTTAAGGGAGAGAGAATAATCCAAAATGACTTCGAGGTTTTTTTAACATAAGAAAGGAAATAAAGGAATAGAAGCAATTTTTAAGAGAGAGATGATGAGTTTTGCTGGAACATACTGAATTTGAAGTGCCTCTGGGGCATCAAGATAGAAATAACAAGCAAATGAATATTTTTATGTGTCAATAAGTCTTCCCTAAATGTATAGATTTGGAAATCATATGATGTTTATGATGGTGGGGTGTAGAGCTATTTTTTGGTTGGTTGCTATTTTAAAATAGGAGGTTTTATATTCATTATATCCACAAAATATCCCTAGAAGATCTGATGCATTATTCCTATTTTACATATGAACAAACTGAGACAGTAAATTGCAAGAGTCAGGTCTTAATGAATATGTACTTGGGAGTAAATGTAAATGAACAAATGTGTTAGTAAAAAATCAAATATAGACTATGAAAAACTTAACTAAAAAAATCAAAACATTTGGCCACATTCTGTATTATCAAGGAAATGGGGAAACAGACACTCTCCTACATTTCCTGTGGAAGCGTATTCGCAAAATATATACCAGTGTACACAAGGTCTGACAATTCAGTTCGCAAACTTGTTGCAGTGATGTTGCTAACCTTTTTTGAAATCAGAGGGATTATTCATTATGAATTTGTACGAGCTGGACAAACAGTTAACCAAGTTTACTATTTGGAAGTGCTTAAAAGGCTGTATAAAAAGTTTAGATGATGGGCCAGCCAAGTGGCACATTGATTGGGAGCTGGCTTGGGATGCCAGAGGGCCCCGGTTTGGATCCCACATATGAGGGCCAGTGACACTGCTCTCTGCAGCTAAGATACTGGGTGGCGGCTCAACCTGGAGCTGGGCTGCTGTGAGTCGCCTGCGATGGCGTAGGCTGCAGTGGGTTGCCATGGGCTACCGTGTGTAGCCAGCAGCCAGCATGAGCGGCCAGCAGCCG